ATAGGCCAACCACTCTAAGGTTATGTTGCCATCGAAAAACCTCAAGTTTCTCATCCTTCCGTGAGCATGAGGTAAAGGAAAAGGTTTGTCGAGATTCTGTTGAGCAGGGGCAAGTGTGTCGAATACTCCGTCGATTAGGTATTCAACAAGTATGAGGCATTCAAGTCGGGATTTTATCCCTCAAGGTTCAGTCAAACTGGGGAAGTTATACTAATAGTTGACATATCTCTCTGAGAATGCATTGATCAGAGGAGAATCTTTCCAGAATTTGAAGATGTAGGGCATTCACTCAAGCATAGTTGGAGTCATCTCCAATTTTGGTTACCTAAACATCATGTTCCAAAGTCCATAACACTGGGACAAATTGTCTTCAATAATGTAAATCTCAAAAAGTCCTCTCAAGGCAATTTTTCTGCAAAAGCCTTACAGACTGGGGCAAGAATTTATGTAAGGGCTTTCTCTCTTCTTCAGTGATTGATCAAATCAAGTCCATACGCAGGCTAAATGACCTATGAATTTGAAAATCATGCCGAGAAGTCAGAATTGTTATCTTCTACTTATCAGAGACTCAAGTTCACTTACTGATATCCTTTGTCCTAAGTTAAGGATATTTTCCCCAGTTGAAGTTTGGATTGTTATCCTCAGTAAGATATAAGCAGTGACACAACGATCATTTGGGGTTGTTTACTCGTACAAGACGCGATGGAAATATTGCTTCCTAAGGGGATGCCTACTCCCAATAAAAGACCTGTTGCTACTTGACATAGACATATCTACCAAGGGGAAATTATGATAAGATTTGACAAATCTCTCTAAGATATTTTCTCCCCAATGAAGCATCCTCATTTCTCTGCAGGAGGAGAATGTTATTTCTCCCTGGAAATGTAGAAGTTGTTTAAAGTCTAGATGATTCCTTTTCGTCGGATTGCAATTTATTTTTGCAGCATCTTCTCTAAAGTCCACTTTTTAGTGGCATTCCTCCTCGGAGTCGACATGTTGAAGTTGTAACCTTGCATTGCAGTTTTTTTTACTCGGTGGTTGATAGTTCAAGTTGTATATTCTTCAGTAAGGTTTTCCATTCCAAACAGGGGAATGCCGCCCCAATTTCTATTTTACAAGTACTGTTGGTCTTGTATGACAAGATGCATACCAACAAATGAATCAAGAAGGGTAACATGAGGATTTTTCGTATAATGAGATCCAATTTCCCCAGTGGACCTATTCTTCTTTCCCTAATGGAGCAAGTGTCCTATCTCTCAGGTAAGGTGTACAGGAGAATTCCAGTCATGACTCTTTCGTTACAAGTGGTAGAAGACTTTGTTGAGATGTCCCTAGTGGAGTTTTTATCCCGGGATGTTGGTTTCTTCCCCAAGTGAGGATCTTTTACCTCCCAGAAATATTATCCCCAGTGCGGTCTAAGTAGAATCCTTTTTATACTCCCCAGTAGAAGTTATCTTTTTCAGGAAGTTCTACGCGAGAAGTTTCCATTCCCAGCAAAGCTTTCCTCTTCCCAACAGAGGATAAAGAATTTGTTCCCCGTGAAGTGGGGAGTTTGATCAAAATTCAAGATTTTTACTGAACTACTATTTGTTTTTGTAGTATTCTCCCCAAGAAGTTACTTCCTCAGTGATATCAATCTTTAGAGTTTGGTGGTTCTGGGTCTCGGTGCCCCATTGAAGTTCAGATTCCCTTTTTACTACAGAAGATCAGATGTGCAAGAATGATTGTAGGGAAGTTCATTGTCTTCCCAATATTTGATCATTGATTTGATTTACCCAGTGCATTACTAAACATGCATCATTACATTGCATTTACTAAAACGCATAGAATTTCCATTGTATGGAGCATTATGTTATAAAAAAATCAAACATACATGAGTATAAGCCAATTATGTCTACCTGTGGTAATAGATTGTTATACGCTCAGATTTGATTTATCTCCACAACAAGCCTAGGGTAATTCTATCATGTTTCCCCAGTGGAGTTTGTTTTGATTCACCACCAGTCGGGTCTTTGGTATTTCTCCATTTCCCCAGTAAGTTTGTGGTTTGCACTTGCCCTTGCAAGCCTTTGGTTATTTTACCCGTGTTCGCTTTGCCGTTAGAGTGTGAGTAAGAGTTGGTGTATAACCATTCTTATTTCTCAAGTATTTGAGTATCCATACTTGGTGTGTGGTAATTCAGATAATTTCCACTCTTGAAGAATTACATCCCGCCTTTGGCCTGAGGAATTTTGTAGTTCTTGCGTATTTGCAACCTATCGAAAGCCCAAAGTGTTTTGGCAATCCTTGTTAGAGTCCGCTTTGACCGGTCTCTTTCTCTTGTAGAGTTCACCTTTGATCGGTGCTCTTTGAAGGTCCTGCCTAGTCGGTTCCTTATGTTGGTTTATCCGTGTTAGTCGGGTCCTCCTTTCATTAGCTTAGCTAACCTTTTATGTTAAGAGTCTTTCAGTGTCTCTTCAAAGTCCAGTTGTCTGGCGTCTTTGTTTAGGAAAATGGGTCCTTTCTTGTTGGGGCTTTCTTCGGTTAGTCTCGTTCTTGTGTTCACTATCAACTCCAAACTTTTTTTTCTTGATGCTCAATTTTCCTCTTGTGTGTCTAACTCTGACCAGATATGCATATCTTCTTCATTTGTTAAAATCCACCTTCGGCTGGTATCCTTTGTTAAAATCCATCTTCGGCTAGTATCCTTTGTTAAAATCCATCTTCGGCTGGTATCCTTTGTTAAAATCCATCTTCGGATGGTATCCTTTGTTAAAATCCATCTCCGGCTGGTATCATTTGTTAAAATCCATCTTCGGTTGGTATCCTTTGTTAAAATCCATCTTCGGCTGGTATCATTTGTTAAAATCCATCTTCGGATGGTATCCTTTGTTAAAATCCATCTTCGGCTGGTATCATTTGTTAAAATCCACCTTCGGCTGGTATCCTTTGTTAAAATCCATCTTCGACTGGTATCCTTTGTTAAAATCCACCTTCGACTGGTATCATTTGTTAAAATCCACCTTCGGCTGGTATCATTTGTTAAAATCCACCTTCGGCTGGTATCATTTGTTAAAATCCACCTTCGGCTGGTATCATTTGTTGAAGATTCCCCTTCGGCTGGTTTCTTTACCCTTAAAATCCACCTTCGACTGGTATCTTTTGTTCAGAGTCACCTTCGGCTGGTCTATTTTCAGTTGTAAGTTCGCCTTTGATTGGCGTTCTTTTCTTAGGAATCTACCTTCAGCATAGTATTCCTTGATGAATATTCCCTTTCGATTCGTTTCTTTATCCTGAAGTCCACCTTCGGCTGGCGCCTATAAAATCCACCTTCGATTGGTATCATTTGTTAAGAGTCCCCTTCGGCTGGTCCCTTTTCATTGCAAGTTCTCCCTTGATTGGTGTTCTTTCCCCTGTAAATCCATTTTCGGCTGGTATCATTTGTTAGGAGTCCTCTTCGGCTAGTCTCTTTTCTTTGTAAGTTCACTTTTGATCGGCGTCCTATTCGGAGTCAATTTCTATTTGCATCCTAAGTAAGTCCGCCTTCGATTGGCGTTCCTTCGTCAGATCCTTCTTCGGTCGGTCTCTTTCTTGTGTACGTCTAACCTTGACCTGACGTCCGAGAGATTTACTCAGCTAACTACTGTAATCCAAAAAAGCAAAAAAATAAAAAAATACAGAAAACCAAAAATATAATGTATTCCTGACTAGATTCGGAGTGCAAATTTTCGGGTTCTTTTAGTATTTAATCTTCTTCCACCCTGAAAGTTCGAAAGGCTGACGCCAATCTCACCTTCAGGTTGGAGGCGATTAAATAGGGGCAGCTGTTGCACCCCAAAATTTGCCCTCCTAATCGTATTTTTTTCTGGCTTAGACTTTGCATTCATCTGTATATTCCATTAGGTCATTAACATACATTTGCATTCAATAAAGCGCTTAAGGTTCAAAGTTCAGTGGTTGTGCAATTTTAGGATTTAACAATGGTTAAGCCGTTCGTGTCTGATAAAGGCTGATTTCTTATTCAGGCAGCGAGCAGTGGAATTAGGGTTGTGACTTGGGTCGTTGAGAAATTATTTCTTCATCAAGACACGAGGCTATCAGGGTTTATTTCCCTGTATGTGATCAAAGCCAGGTTTTCGACAATTGTGTTCCAATCGGGTTTTGTTTCGTCAAAGATCATGAGATTAGGGTTTGTTTTATCAAGGGACTTTTTTCAGAAAGCCTTATATTATGCGTCAGGAATTATCATCTTCAAGAGAATTTTTTAAGGATTTTAGCCTTATATTTTCAAGTGGACATGTTTGTGACTTGAATTACAAAAGTTGAAGCACAATACAAGATATGATGCAAAAGAGCACTAATTGAGTTAGACGAATATGAATAAAGGCTTTGATTTTGGGAAAAGTCAATATGGAAGAAGTTGTTTTCTTGACTGAATTCATGTATGAATATTATTGATTCGATTGAATGTTGTGTCATATCTTGAGTTCAAGACTGGTTCATTGAACAGGCAAACTGGTTGGAATTCGTTCACTGAGTCATGAAGTGAAGTGCTTATAGGATAATCAAATGGTATTAGAGAAATCTAAGTGTTGGTTTGCTTTCAAGAATTTGATTCATTCGAGTTTAGAGACCTTATCCATAAGAGTTTCTTGGAATGCAAAAGATAAGAACCAAATGGCAAGGCATAGTCATTCATTATAATTCCATTCAAGTGATTATTTTGGTTCAAGTTGTCACTTTTGGTATCATTCAAATACCGTTCAAAATCAATCCAAATACATTCCAAACCTTCATTTACATCATTCAAATTCAACATCTTAATATTCATCATTCAATGTCCACTCGAAAATTCATGCTCGTTCAACCATTCTTTCTAGGCATCATGTAAATGTCTCTAAGCGATTCATTTTGAATTTACAAATTCATATTACATTCCAAAGAAACTACAAAAAATTGTAAATTACACAAAGCTACACTAAGTCTATCCTGCCTAAACATTAGCTCCATTATTTTCCATGTTATGACTTCATGATGCCATTCTTGCAACCTCCAAACTCTTTGTCAAACTTTGATTCAACCATGCACAAAATTCCTGCTGCGATAGGTTTCATGTCTCGGCTCCAAGTTTTCCAACCCTGCACTTTACAAAACATAAACAGTCCATAAGTTCAATCAGAAAAATAGTTTAGCAACTTGCAAACAAAACCAGTTCAGAAAAGAAGAATCGCGAAGATGCCATCTACACTATGCTAAAACAGTTGCCGTGATAAATCTTGTTTCAAATTTACAGTTAGCATAAAATAATAATAGTCAGCCCTGCACATTTAGAATTTAGCAGTTCATGACAATTCAAAACCAGGCTACATACCAGAATTTCCACCCAAACAAACTTTGTACCAGACCATAACTACCCTGCATTAACAAACTCAACTCATTCCTAACTCCTCTAAATTCAAAACAACATTGCTAACAGGATTTATGCTAAGCCTAACTTCAAACCAATACAAACTAATCCTAACTGTCAAAACATGATTTTATAACTAAACTCCTAACTGTCTATAACTGAATTAAAAGGTAGGTAGCTAACCTTTATCAAATCCATCTCACCCATTCTTTTTATAACAAATCTGCTGTGACGGCATGCTTCAGTCGGAATAAAAGTTGCAAAGCCAAAATCAAAACAGTTTGCATGACCTGCACATTAACACAAATAACATATGTAATTAGCCTTTAACCAAAACTAGTTCAACACCAAAACAACCCTTCGTCTAACTATGACCCAAACCATTCAAGCTACTGATCAACCCTGCGCATGAAAACCTAAAATCAGTTAAGCAAGTTGATGGTTGCAGTCCAGCATTCGACAGAAAAATAAGAGGTCAACTCTTAACTGAATTTGGTTTCAGCATAACAAAAATCAGCAACTTCTAATAGAAGTCATTACAGCTCGACTTTCGTTCAAATATCAACCATTCATTTTTCCTAACTAATTTTCAGATTAACCACTCAAGTCAAAATAGATCCCTAATTGATTTTCTAACTAACTAACAGAAATTCCAAACAGGATCCTAACTTCTCTAACTGTTTCCTAACTTCCTAACTGTCTAACAAAATTTCCAAAGTGTTTCAAAAAAAAAAAAACTAACAGTTTCTAACTACTTCTAATTCCCTAACTATTTTTCTAATAAGCGACTAACAGAAAAATAACTAACTTTCATTCTAACAAAATGTAACTGAATCAGTTACACATAACAAAAGAGAACAGACTATAAAAAACAAAAAATTACCTGAGATGAAGGGGGACTGATCTTCTGGATTATGCAGAAAAATCATAAAAAAGGGGCTTTCTCTCCAGAACCACTCTCCAGCTTCAACCTTCTTTCTCCTCCTCTCATCCGCATCCTTTAACCTGGCCAGGCATTCATCTTCTCCACAACCTCACTCTTCAATCTCATTCATCACGGTCATCTTTTACATAAATCACCAAAAAAAATCTTAAATCTGTCTCTACACTCTCTGAACTCTCTGAGTTTTTCTTCACGTCTCATCAACACCATCACTAATCTTATTTCCTCATCTTCACCATTCTTCATCTCACCCCTCTCTAAGCCGTTCTTTCTCCCTGAACCTCTTCAAGAATCAACATCATCTTCGATCTCTATTCTTCATCGCATACATAATATCATCACCACTCCATAACCAGACTTCAATCATCTTCATCGTCAATAAATCTACAAAAAACGTAAATGCATCGCACATGTAACAGAGCAACATCGAAATACAGAGGAAGTAGAAAATTGAATCGAAGAAAGAGTTTTCGGAAGAAGTGGAAGAATAGAGCTCACCACAGACTCAAGGCGCTTCTCGGAGTTCGACATCGGCGCCACCGTCGAAGAATATGTTTCACTACCTTCTGATATAGACACGTAGTTCTCATTCCCCCGGGATTTTCTCCCATGGTTTTAGCTCGAATGGAGTAATCTGCATCATTCAATTGAAGCTTCGAGACTGCTAGGGTTTCCAATTTAGAGTGACCTTGCAATATGTTGGAAGGATTTAGAGATTGGTTCGTATGCATGGTTCAATGTGGATGAGGATTCTAGGGGTGAAATGGCGGCGGAGGATCCCTGATATTAGCCATAGAATGGGACGCGTCGATTCACAATGAGGAAGAAAAGGAGAACCTGTTTTGTGAAGTCCAAAGGCCACTTCTTCTAACTCCAACCAGATTCTCCAAAACGGCACATGGGCCTTGCTTCATGGTTTGAGCCCATGGTAATCAGTTTTTGTTGCTATACAAAAAAACATGCATGGATCCCCTCTGGACTGGGCTCAGCACCCATGCTGCATCGCTATACTTTAGCACCTCCTGCTTACAGATTGCACCCTTTTTTTTATTTGAATTTTTTTTTAAATGATTTGGAAAATTATTTAGTTTTAACTCTTTCTTCACATAATAAAAAAAAACAAAAACATTAATAAAAAATGTTAGATTTTTGTATTTGTTTTTTTTAGAAATTAAATCTCGATTATCCGATTACTTGAGGTTGGTAACTTACCTTTGCTTGTTGAGATTTGAGTCTTATGAAGGTTTATTGCGCGATATACGGATATGCTTGAGATTCGATTGCGATTTATTTTCACATCAATGATGCTTCGACGCTTATTCTGGGCATTTGATTTCTGACTCTTTTTCGTTGTTTGGATATTCATGCGGTCTTTGCAATGTGGAATGCTGGGAGATTAATTCTTTGATCACTCGCACGGAGTAGCTTTTGGTAGAGTTTTCTTATTGCTTGCACGGTTTCAAAGAGGCAACGGACCTTCTCCGTTAGGTATCATCACAACCTCATTTTATTCCTCATCTCCGTATTTATCGCTTCCTAGGACCACCATTGTATAATAACATTAGGGATAGATTTAGGCTAGTCTCCCTTAGATGTTTTTTTCTTTCTTTCGCATATGCATTTAAAAACAAAAACTTCTTTTTTTCTTTCTTTTTTGGCAAACTTCAAAAATACTTAAAAATTACTGACGAGAGTCGTTCCGTTGTTGAACATGGGAGATGATAAGCGGGTCTCTTCTCGATCTTATCATTTTTTCATTCTAATCCTTGGCATGGTTCAGATATCAAAGACTTATTTCATGAATAAGTGGAAAAATGACTAAAATCTATCTCTTGAGATTAACTAGCTGTTATCCACAAGCAAAAACACCAACAAATATAAACTCTTTCCACCTTAGGGCTTTTCTCCAAAAAAATTTCAAAAGAGCATGTTAATTCACTTCTGTGCTGACGCGTAAGTCTCCAAAGGTCGAGTTACGGCAGAAGGCGAAATTAATGTGGTTTATTAAAAAATACAAACCAGCAAAAAACATATGAGTCGAACTACGGCTGCTCTGATTCCTTAAAAGGGATATGTAGGCATTGAGGTAGGGCCCGAACGAGCACACCTTTTATTTTCCCTACATTCTTTTCTCATTTCTTTTGCATGCATTCCCCCTTCAGTAGTATAGTAAACAATAAGCATAGATTAAACACACCCATAAGATAGACAACAAGAGTGGATACCGTAGAGTACTACGGGCGTGTGGGGTGCTAATACCTTCCCCTCGCGTAACAGACTCCCTTACTCGATCTCTCGGTCGCAAGACTGTGACTTCTCCTTTCTCAGGTTTTCTAGATGTTTACCTTTCCTTACATGTGGGATAAAAGACGTTCGATGGCAACTTCATTGTTTGATGATTTTCAGTCGGTTGTTTAAACTATTAGTGAGTAGGTAGCCCTAGTCGTTGGATGGTTGAGGGACATTCGAATGGACGTTTATACAGTCACAAAGGCAACTGGGCAAGAAATGTTAGTAACTATCCTAGGGTTTTAAGATCATTTTTACCGAGGCAACATCGAGAGGGTCATCGAGGGGATTATGATCTTTAAACCGGAGGGTAGCCACTAAAATCTCTCACGTATCGAGAGTTGTGACTGTTTTCCGAAGTCAACCAAAGTGGGATACCCTAGAGGTGTATATGTGCAATTGTGTTATATTCAGTTATTTTTGTCTTGTGTTAGGTTTGCTAGCATTATTTTATTAAACTCTTGCCATACAATCCTATTACTCATGCATCTAGACAGTTAATAGTTTGTAGAAATTAAAAGTGCGGAAATGTAAAATCCTAACTATTACAAGGTTTCGGGGAGGGGGTTAATTACATGTCCAAAAACGGGAAAAATAAAAAAATAAAGTAAAAGTCTGAATTAATTCTATTACATCCCAGTAGGAAGTTACAGAAAATATGGAAATAAAAATGCAAAAAGTAATAACGCGCGCGAATTGAAATAACGTCTAAATATCCTAAGGTATAAAAAATCTTTTTGTTTGTTTTTGATCATGGAAAGAAATTTAATTTAAAATCCTAAGTCTATTTAGTTTTAAATTAAAAAAAAGAGTTAAAATAATTAATCAATTAATTTACAAAATTAATTTATTTGAGAAAATGTGAACCTAACATTTTTGTGATTTTATTTGATTTTATAATTAAAGAAAAAAACATTAAAATAAATAAACAAATAAAACAAGTAAATAAAAAATGCAAATGGGCCTGGCTAGTAAAAACAAGAACTGGGGATGTGATTTTAAAAAAACGTTAGGCCCAAATTGTTGAAGCCCAGGTTTCCAGCGAATCCAGTGAGGAATTCTTTGGAGAGTGCATGGTGGTCTGCACGTTGGAGGCGCTGGATCTGGATCAAGTTGTGATCTGATGGCTTGGATTGATGGTTTATGATGCACGTGTTTGGACTTGAAACATCAGATCTGTATATAATATGTTAGAAAAAACAAAATGCATGACCTGTGTATCAAACCGAGGTCATTCCCCTTAATTCGAGACCCCCCTAATTCGAACCCCCTGAGTCTGAATCTGGGTCATTTTGGTCTGAAACAGCCTGTACCATGAGTTTCGAAAGCAATCAGTTTCGAAGGCCCTAACAATGGTATCATGTCATTTGGGCACTGTAACTTACATGAATTACGTTAAATCATTCACAAACAACAATAATAACATGAATATGCAATCAAAATGAGCTGAAATTAGAGATTGAATGAGTTTGGGATTGGAAATTTTTTTACCAAACAGAGTTGCCTCGATCTGTAGTTCTGAGAGTGGGATGGCTTGTGCAAGGGTTAATATGTATTTCTGGATGTCTCAGGAATACGATTTTGGTATTTGTTTGGACTGATGGAGCTTGCAAAGCTTGTTTTGAATTTTGACAACTTATGAGATTTTTGAGAGTTTTGAGATGGTTTTTTGAGGCAGTGTGTGCGTGTGGCTCTTTGAGGAAATTTTTGTCCATGTTGCTTTTGATTTAGTCTTGTACTTATAGGAGTGTGTTGATGAACATATATGGCATGAACCAGCCATTAACTATGGCTTTGAATGCAAAATCATCAAATTTTAAAAGTTTCCATTCTAAGACATTTCATGCCATTTTGAACTTTAAGTGAACCTAGACAGGTTTCATCCTATTAGGTGTTCGTTTCAACTTTCATCTCCATTTCACATCAATTGATTCTTTTGACAAGCTATCAAGCTTTGTTCTTTTCGATGGCTCTAAGTTCCAATTCAAATTTCTCAAGGCTTCATCATCACGGCTCCTTCGATTAAAGTCACCATCTGCATCTGTTGTACACCAAAATTTTCCCTCTCATATTTTCCCAAGATCATACTCTTACATGGTGATTACAAGCATTTGATTAAAGGAAAGATAAAATTTTTTAAAAGAAAAACAAGGAGTCTTCGATTGGCATTTTGACAAAATCCTTAGATTGTCATGTTAAAAGGCCTTTCGATTGGTATTTGGATAGGTTTCGTTTGAGCACCTAACCTCCTCCATGTTGGCCTCAAATTTCCAAGCTTCATTGAAGCCTTGGTCTTTTTCTTTATTTGATGCACACCAGTTTCGACTGGGCATGTATTTCCTTGGAAACAGCTTCCTTCGATTCAGAAAGGAAGGGCCTCTTGTTAGTGCTCCTTCAATTACACCTTTGGCTTTGCATGCTGGCTTGACTAACAAATGCAATGGCTACCTGCATGAAAGATGGATTCCTGCTTCGTTTGGGCATTTGGTCTCTTTAGAGCATGCTTAATTCATGCTTCGACCAGGCAAATAATCCCTTTTTCAACCCGCCTGCAACGCACAAGGAAAAAAAGCTTCTTTCGACTTGCCTTTGATGCACAAGGAAAGAACACCCTACAAGCGTGTTTTGATTCATCAATATAAAAGCCCCTTCATGACTGCCTTGGATTCACTAAGACAAAGGGCCCCTCTTTAGCTT